GAACTGGATTTCCTATAAGTTATCTTTTAATTGAGGCGGGCAAAAACCGGAATATTACTGAAATTCTTATAAACTGGATGGTTGCACTAAAATCTCGTCAATTGATTAATTTTCCATTTATCTTTGTTGATAAAGCTTTTAGTGAAATAAATGCTGCCCAATTGGTTTGGCCCGAATCCCGTATACAATTATGTGCATGGCATGTACGCCGAGCAATAAAGCAAAGATTAGTATCAACAAACAGAATTCGAAATTATAATTATGATCCTATTGCTATGCACCAAGAATGTTCTGGAATTAATCCAAATTGGAAACCTCAAATTAGTGAAAACAATTTAAAAATTTGTCCCTTAGAACTTCGAAAAAATATATTAAATCTCATTGATAAGCACTATAATCGTCACATGTTGTTGCCCAAATCTAATGGAGAATTTATTACAAGTTCAAAAATGATTTGGGAAGAATCCGTATTAGAAATCAGCCGGTTTTGCTATGAGCATAGGCTAGATAATCTTTGGTTATACTTATGGGGAGAATGGTATTCATATAGTAAGTGGATTTTATGGGCGAAAGCAGCTAATAGCAAAATTAGCCATATTAAGACTACAATGATAGTTGAGTCGCATTGGCGACATGTGAAACATGATTATTTGCATAAATTTCATAAGCCACGTATTGACCATTTATGTTATATTCTTGTTCGAAAAGTTGTAAACCAACAAATTTATCGAATTCGCCTATTACAGGAAGATCATTATACAGTACCTTGGAGAAAAGAATTTAAAAAAGAGTGGCGAAGACTTGAAAAGGAAACTGTTAATAATAAGCATCAAACTGATATAAATAATTGGACATGTACATGTTTTTCATATTTTCAAAGTCGGTTTTTTTTATGCAAGCATTTGGTTTGTAATACTGGCAAAGTCGACGATATTTTTTTTAAAAAGGTATTTTATTATTAATCAAAATCATTAGTAAATTATATATTAAAAAACTTCTATTATAGGTGCGACGAAATAGCAACTATCCAATTATTGGAATATATGAGGGCGAAAATTATAATCTTTTTAATTTTCAGAATAATAATGAAACCATTATGAATGTTCCTATTTATTATAATTCAATCGATACTAATGAACATGAATATGATATTTTGCTTGAAGGTGACAACGAAGAAAAAAACCCGAATTATGTTTTAAATTATTTGTGCAATGTTCTTGAAGAGGTATGTATATATGTATGTATA